AATCTTCAAATTGTCGATAGATTGTAGGTAAGTTGAACTAAAACTATAATGATTAGTGTAATCTATCAGAGATAAAAAAAATTTAATTTCTTGATTTTATAACAAACTAACTTCAAAAAATTAATATAATTATTTTTATTAATTTCTAGCAAAAAAATTAGTAACAAAATCTTATTGTGATTTTAGTTGCATTTTAAATATGAATTTAAAATGCAACTAAAATCACAATAAGATTTTGTTACTAATTTTTTTGATTAAATGATTAAAATGATTTAATAGAATTTATTCATTTTAATAGAATTTATTTTAATATAATTTTTATTAGATTCTTTAATGTTATTATATAGAATATTTGCACTAAAAATAAAAAATTATTAAAAATAAAATTTTTAAAAATTTCGATGAATAAATATATCTACGTTTTAAAGGAAAATCTGCAATTAAAAGAATATCTGCAATATCTTTTTAAAATATCCTACATAAAGGATGTCCCAAAATTGGATGTCCAAAATATTAAGTATAATTAAAGTATCAACTATTAAGCTGTAAATATTTAAAAAAGAATCTTTCTTTCCAGATAAAATTCTGACATGCATAAAATTTACCTTATTTTTATTTTATAGTGGATTTAGGTGAACAAAAGCATAATAAATATAATAAAAATATTAATAAATAAATAAATAATATATTAATAAGATAACAGCAAAAATTTCTCAAATTAGAAATACTTTAGAAAGGCATTAAAACGAATTAGATGGATTCTTGACCGTATCAAAAAATATTTAAAAAAAATTAGATAGATTTTTGAAAGTATCAAAGGGTACTAAAAAAAATTAGATGCATCTTTAAAAGTGTTAAAAAGTATTAAGAAGAATTAGATGGATCCTTGAATGTTTGCGGTTCGCAGATTGCGCCTATAGATAAATCCTGTTCTGAGAAATAATTAAACATAATTCCGATAGTGTTCATTTAAATACAAAATAAAATGTTAATTCTTCAGATTTTTTAAGACATTCTTATAATTGTAATTTTTTTAATATTTCACATTAATGCTAAGGTTTACCCCAAGATTATGGAACCAACAGGTGGTAACGGGATCGTCATATGCCTAACTACGGTACTGAGGTGCAGCGTCCTCGTGTACGTGTCTGTGTCTGTGTGAGTGTGTAGACATTTCGCGCGTGTGTACTAACTTGATTCTTGATCTTATGGTAACATAATGTGCACGAATATTAAATGAACGAAACTTGAGCTCAAAGGGTTTTACATTTTAGCGCTAAATGCGTGATATAGAACTCCAAATGTTCAGGAACAAACTTGTATTTTTTATGTGTATCAAAATATTGTGCACTTAATATAGAGATTAGGTAGAGTGACACATGTTTTTGTGTGTTATTAGCGATCGACTTATAGTTGATCCCGAGTTTGATTTTATAACAGGTTGAAAAATTAAGGATTGTAAATGAAGGAGGCGATGGTACAAGATGGTAACCCGTTCCCTTTTGGGAACCTATATTTCAATATTGAAATCAGGTTTACGTCGCCTAATAATGTCATCATTAAATGATCATTTATTGTCTATCAGCTAGACCTTAATCGTGTTAATAATAACCAAGACAGGGTAAATAAATCTTTTAGACCAATGAAAAAGATTACTTACAGGTCTGGCGATATTTGCCGGTCTGTTTAGAAGTGAGCCCGTTTTTCTAGCCGGAGTAGAATGATTCAGAGTAGGACTGACACTGCCCACTCTGTTGCTATTGCTGGTACTTGATTCCCTACGCTGCTTTTTAGCCGGTCGACGATCACCCGTACCGCTGTCGCTTAGACGCTTGGTGGTTTTCGTAGTAGCCTCCTGTAGCAACAGTTTCTCAGTTTGCATGTATAATATAAAACGCAATTAAAAAATATTTTTAACAGTTGCTGCTGAAAAATGGAAGATAGATTCGCTGCTAACCTTACGCGGCTTCGGCGTTTTGACCACAGATTTCTTCTCGGGTACAGGCTCTTCTTTAAGTCTGTCGAACAAGGAATCCGGATCCAAGCCATCCTCGAATACCTGATGCATCAATACAGAAGATTTAATCATTTTCAATGTAATCAATGTCTAACTCAATAACAAAATATGGACTTTATTTTTTATTTTATATTTAGCTTTCATTTTTTAGATCAGTCCTATATAGACATAAAAAGTGTCACTAATTTTTAGATAATATAGTTGTTAAAATATTATTTCAATATAACTACTACTTTATTAATATTATATTAAATTATCTAAATTATCTTAATGTATCCACAGATACATTAAGCATAGATAGTTATCAAAGACATGAAAATCTTGTTTACCTCTCCTTTGGCGATAAATTCTTCTATAGCTTCCACTGCATCTTTGAACGCGCCAGATTTGCTAGATTTCACTAAAGTATCCTTATACTCCTGATAGGGTTTAATGTTGGATTCCTCTATCCATGCGCTACAAAAGGAAGATATTGTCGAGGATCATAAATCATAGTAACGTTCCATAAATAAGATAAACGATCTATAAGTAGAACTTACTAGTTGTTTGTCCCAAAGAAGAAGATACACTGTACTGGCCCCTTTTTAGTGTTCGCAGGCTTCTTCAAGTCCTTTGAAGGAACCGACACCTTTGCATGCCATTATATAAAATTAATATATATAGCCTATACAGCACTAACAAGAATAATTGCAACATTTATTTTCTCATGTACATCTCGAATTCTAATTTAATTTACAATCCAGTTGGAAAGCAATTTCATCAACAATAATATCAAACAAAATAAAAAGCAGATGTTTGCCAGAAGATGATATTAACAAAGTATTTTACATGCGACACAATTATCTCATTTACAAATCGTCAACTGTAAACTTTTTTATGATTTAAAAAATGCAGAAAAATACACATTAAAAATAAATTTCATCAAATAACATTTTTGTTCAATAATTCGTCGTCTGTACACGTTTTATAATTACGTTCTTCTCTTTCATACTAGGACGAAATTTTTCGAGCTGAGGTCGTATTCGTAAATCACCCTCGGTCCCCGAGATCTTCGTACGGCCCTGCCGGCGGTTGCCGCGTAAACGCACTTGAAGGAACTACGAGCTATCCACATTTCCTACTCTATTCCTCCCCCTTCTTCTCTCGCAAGATTGAATACATGTCTATGGTATGCGGTATTCATTTAATCCGATCTTTTATTCAAGATCGTTTTAAATCGGATTACGATCTCAAGACATCGTCCGACCGGTGAAAAACCGTACGGTATTTCATCGTTTTTAAGACGATCTTGAATATAAAAATTAACCATAAATACCGACCTATCTCGCTTCGAACGTCGGAAAATGCGTCGGTGACAATCTCGGAGCGTTGAGGCGTAATCGCGGCCGCTCGCCCGGCATGCCGCTGACGTCACGCGCGTTTCCGCCAATCGGAAACGGGGAGACGGATTACGCGGGACAAATTCTAAAGTCTCGACGACTCAGCGGATCGCGGCACTGGGCGCGTTCGATTTCCCCCGTGAGAAATTCCGAAACCGCCGCGCAGAGCGGGGAACGATGGGGGGGAGGGGAGGAGGGAGCTCGCCGAGGCGCGAGCGGGAGGACTCGCGATCGCAATCGGGGGATTTAGGTTATAAGCCCGCCGCGGATTGCGCGCCAATTTGAATTCGAAGGTCCGGGTGTGGCGGGGGATAGGGATAGCGGAGGCGGCGCATCGCGGCGCGATCTCCGGCGCGGTGTACGACGCGATGCGCCGCGGTGCCCGGCGGCCAGTGGCGTCGACAGCTGGTGCGCTTCGTCCCGGCGGCGAGGGTCGACGAGGCGGAACGACGCGAGAACCGCCAAATACGAGCGAGGACAGGCGTGCGCGCGCGCGCACGCACACACGAGCGACGTTAACGGGAAGAGAGAAGCACGAGAGCCCGCGTTGCGATGAGCTTAGAGAGTGGCGAGGGGAGGGGACGGGGGGTACCCACTTACCCGGCCGGGCCACGGCGAGAATCCTTTCATCTTCGCCCTGAAAGCCAGAAAAAAAAAGATACGGGGAACAATTAGGTTATGCGTCAACACAAGATTGGCACGATCGCGTTGTTGTCGCGCACACTCCAAATACGCACCATACTAGATCACCCAGTTTGAATACTTCCGACATCGCGAGGAACGACGAGAACAGGTCAACCAGTGCCTTCGAACGTCAGCGAGCGACTGACTTGCGTGCGAAGCGTCGTTTATGCACCGACGACGTGAGCGCAGTTGGCTCCCTCTACGCGCCGTCCCCCTTTCGAGCTTCCCCCACCGCTCGTCGCCTGCGCGGCTGGTCGAGCGAGCGACCGTGTCGCGCGAATAGATAACGTTTCTACGCGCGACGCGTTGAAATAGATGGTTATCGATTGCGATCCGCGATTAATAACGCCGCGAGGCTGCACGAAAGAACTCCGAGGAAGGCTTTGGGATCGCTAACCTCGCGCTTCGGCGCGTCTCGCTACTTCCGGCGGCTAAGTTCCCGTCCTAAGGGACGATTCGCAACGCGCAATTGCGGTCGACCAATCACCGTTCGGCGCTCCAAAATGTCCTCGCGAGCCAAAATTCGGCGGAGAATAACGCGACGTCGTAATATTTTGTCGCTTTCTGTAATATATTTACAAGTTTTTCCCAAGATTTTACATTCTGGAATCTAATCGTCATCCTTCGAGCCAAAATTTCCAAATTTATATTCCATATGCAGGTTTTGGAGGCTCGCCCCTGGGAACTGCATAATTTATTACATCGGATTCTGTGAAAAAAAAATTTAATTTTGCGAGAAAAATAAATGTTCGGGAACGTTGAAAAGAGGAAAGAAGGAAAAATGTCTCATATTTTCTCAGAAATTTTCTAAGAATTTCTCATATTTTAGATTTATAAAAAATTCTGAAAAAAAATATGTCGAATTTCTCAGTTACTTTCGAAAATAATTGAATAAGAATTTTCAGAACATTTTTCAGACATTTTTCCACTAAGGAACGATCGCTCGTACGGATCGCGCCGGTGCGATCGGAGCCTAAAGGAGCAAGGAGTTCACGGTCCGTCGTCCGAGAATCATAGACGTCGCGCTAGAACGACCTGCAGCAGTCACGTCGATTACGACCTACCAGCTGTCAGACATCGATTGTGAACCCTTTTTACAGTTGTCTCAGACTCCGGGCAAGGGCGTCTCGCGTCCCGCAACCTCACACCGTCCCCCGGGCCGAGTTTTCGCGATACCGTTTCTCAGCCGCGCCGCGCAAATCTGGCCGGAAATGGACAGTAACGCCCGTCACAACACGGTACGTCCACCTGCGACGAACGGCGAACGGTCTCGCGTTCGTCGTGCGCTCCTCGGACATTGTCCTTTTTTTTGCCCTCCGTAAAATATTTCCCGCTGTCACGCAGCACGTTGACGTGCCTCGCGCGATGTTTCGTCGGTGTTTCTTCGCGCGATCGTAGTCTGCTCCGTTGTTCGTCGGGCTGTTTTTCATCATCTTGTACGCAAAAGATAACGACATTGTTATCTTGTTATCTGATCTGGCGAAAAAGATGTACATTTTGACTCCAAGAATTTTTCTCTTTAATTACCCTTGCCGGCGGCAGAAATGATATTAAATCGTATGTATTTATTGAGATCTGTTTTACTGTTCCACAGCCGCCTCAAGCGGGTGCGGATACCGATGGCGAAATTCAGAATCAGTCGATTCAGAACGAAGTTCCTACGGTCACTGTGGCAATGCCCTTCATGCAGGTCGACATGCTCGGCCATTCTGGAGCATCTACTGCTGCTCTGGCTACAACGACAAACCGAATGGTAATATATTATGACAGCGTAGTATTACATAATATTATAGGTGCGATCTATTCGTCACTCCAAACGCTCTTGGAAACGGTTCATCCTTGTTGTTTATCAAATATTAAACCAGGACGAAACGATGCTCTGAAGCGTTTGAAGCGTCTAGTGGATTTGCACCTTGTAAGATAGATACAACGTTATGGTTTGAATAACTATTAACTGAGTAAAATTATTCAGGTTGAAGGCGAAGAGATTCCACCCCCGAAACCAGACTTTTCCGCACCTCCTCCTTACGAAGTAGCCACCAAATTACCCAGTTACGAAGAGGTTCAGCGTGAAAAGACTCTGCAGGGCGAGCCACAGCCTCAAATACACATGGTACGCGACGTATCTATAATTCGAAATGTATTTCTGAAGGGCTTTGAATCTTTCCAACATCTGGACCGTAAATAGTGTTCTTTCTAATAGATTAAAAATCTTTCCTTTGCAGCCAGGAAATATTAGACCACCACAGCAGCCTCTGACAATACTGGCTATAGATACCGAAGCTGCCGAGGGTGATCCAGAAAGCGGGCTGCTTGGCACAGATTTCATGTTCTTCACAGCGTTTCTTGGTGGGGTGCCTTTACATTCTACAAAATCTAATAATCCCCTACAGTGAAAATTATCTGCATTAATGTGTCTCTCTTGTAGTCGCATTCCTATTCAACTGGATCGGATTTTTATTACTGATGTGTTTCTGTCACACTATTGCCTCTCGTTACGGTGCGCTAGCCGGCTTCGGATTGTCCCTGACAAAGTGGACGCTCATTGTTAAACACTCCACCGACCTTGCTTCGCGAGAGAATTCATGGCTGTGGTGGTTGATAATGGCATTCGGTTTGTATAATTGTAATAAGAAACTTAATCGAGAGATATTTTACAACACGGTAAAATATAACGATTACGTTCCAGGGGTTCTAATTTGCGTACGTGCCATCATTCAATATTTAAACATCAAACGTGGTTGGAGACTACTGTCCGGGAGCGCACAGGAGCGTCTACTTTTTTTCTATTAAAAAATCATTAAATCTGCACCATTTTTTTCTTTACTCAACTTGGCTTTAGAGCAAACAGCATTTCTATGTGGGGTCATATTTGTATAATATATAATCGATTTTCTTAAGGGAGAGCATCGTGTAGATCGTAATATCTATCTATATACAGAACGAAAACAGCAGGATCTTTAAAATGATTTGCCAAATTCGTCGTGATGAAACGGATATGAAAATACGAATAAAAAGAACGATAAAGAGAATCAGTCCCTTTTTCGCACATACATACATATGGAAGACATATAAACGCTATTTTATGTAATGTTATAACGTGATAGGCTATGGGAAAAAAAGAAATGTACATTTTTATTGCTCAAAATAATATGAACAATGCTTTAAGTCAATACTCTTATTCATTTTAAGCGTTGTTCATTTAAATGCAGATCACTGAAGAACGTAAACGTGTGGAGCGCATGTCAAATCGTAATTTGTGCAAAATTGACAAGTCAAAATAAATCGCGTAAAGAGACAAAATATACGATTCGTTATTATTTCCGGATAAATGATGAACAACAGTTTTCTGATAGTATAATATATTCTAGCGTTAGACAAGCTTCTATAGAGATTGACTACTTACTAAATATGATAAGTGTATTAATATATCCCGCTTGTTTATATAGTACTATAATTTATATAAATATAAATATATATATATACATACATATAGAGAATTCTTATCGAAAGAGAATTCTTAGATATAAATAAAAAACAATAAATATTACGTATATGTATTAAAATTTATTATATAAAACGATATGCGATTACACGTTATTCTGTGAAAAATTTCATTGTTATACTTATTTTAACGATAAAACTGAGAGATAGACATTCAGAATTTCATATTCCCCTCCTTATTTTCCAAAAATCGCAAGTTTTGGAACTTTGGAAAATTCTTGGAATCTTTTGCAATCTCCTTGCCGATCTCCTGATACTCTTCGTTGATTTTTAAGATTTTTAATTTTTACGATTTAAAATCCCGAATTCTTAGAAATTCAGGAAATTCTTAAAAATGCAAAAAAATTCTGAGAAATTGAGAAAATTCTCAGAAAAGTAGGCGATTCTTAAAAAATTCTTGGAATTTTAGCTAAAGCAATCTCTTAATCCATTTATGTTTTTTCTTTGTTAATTTTCAAGACTTGATTTTCGCAAATTAAAACCCCGAATTCTTATAAATTCAGGAAATTCTTGGAAATTGAAAAAATTCTCGGAAACGCAAGCGTTCTCGAAAATTTCGGAAAATGTTTGGAATTTTAGATGGAGCAACCTCCTCGCCGATTATGTTTTCCTGATACTTGGGCAATTTTCAGAAGACTTTTGATCGTGCTAAATGAGGTTTGAATCTTTGCTAATTGTGTAAATGGGGTTCGAGTCTTTGCTAATATCGGGGTTCGAGTCTCCACTAAAGGGGTTGAAATTTCTGCTGAGCGAGGTCGAGACTTCTGCGACAATCGGTAGGTAAAGTACATTCTGTCCAAGAGGGTAGTAAATGAGAGGTCCCATGGTGTAATGGTTAGCACTCTGGACTCTGAATCCAGCGATCCGAGTTCAAATCTCGGTGGGACCTAACTTTTTTAAAGTGCAAATCTATTTTTTTGTCAACATTCAAATGTAATAGTACTTAAATAATTCACGTAAATGCAATTTTAATTTTTTGCTTTGTTATACAAGCATGGAATTTTTTTTCTTTTATTTGAAAATGTTAAAAAAATCGCGCTATATATCAAATTTATTGGGACTTTATGTTTCTTACGACGATTTTAAGAAATCATCGGAAATCTTGTGGATTTAAACAGAAAGGAGAAAAGGCAATACCCCAAGTAGCAAAGATGACGTCTAAAGACGCTATTGACGTCATTAAGACGTTATTAAGACGTCACTTAGCCACCTGGGATCTGGGACGTTTGAATTATGCATGATCCATATTGCTAAACATTGTGCGTATCAATACCAAACCGATCAAACGATCATGGTTTCAGTTGACTTGAAGACGTTCGTGGAAACAGACGAATATACATAATTTTCGAATTCAAATCAGGAAGCTCTATCATTCTTGAAAAGTTATATTTTTCACGCTGCTTTGGATCTATCTGCTCCAGTTCCTGTGATATATAACTTTATTACTTAATTATTAAACGCGTCGAAAGTTATTTCCTCACAAGAATTTCGATTATATTGAAAAATCTCTTATTTTCACGAGCTAGTTACACATAAATGCAGACGTTTTACTGTTAAAATATAATTACTTGATGTCTTTTATAAATAAAACGCGCGAGTAAAAATAATATGAGTCATAATTCAGCGTCTCGAAACTTCCGAACGTTCTTGACTCCCGGAGTTGCAGACGTTGCAGTTTGCAGTTGCGTCTTTAGTCGAGTCGAGGTACGGTCATTTAATATGATTAACCCATTGTTCGAGAGCAGGCAAGCAACCCAAGCGAAAGGACTCGCGGGTCGCGGCGAGTGAGGCGAGTCGGTGACGTACCTACGAATGCTACGAAGGTCGTGCATAGTTCGAACTTGCGAGATTGAAGATTTTCGTGACGGTGATCGCAACGAGGAAGGAAAGATGGAACAGCTCTCGGGGAAGAAAAGGCGTCTCACTAATCCGGACAATCCCGTGGTTTTTCTGGACATCGTGATCAACTCCGAGAAAGGTACGTCCTCGCGCGAGGTTATGATTGTGCGAATACCGGCTCACGATTCCATTGTCTTTCTAGTGGGAAGAATCGTTATAGAATTGTTCAAGAACATTGTGCCGCGAACCGCGGAGAATTTCCGCGCGTTGTGCACCGGCGAGATGGGCGCCGGGACGAAGGCCGCGAAGTTACACTACAAGGGAACCATTTTTCACAAAGGTGAGCGTTATCTCGAGTGTCCGATTCCTCTCGCTCCCATGTATCTTCATTCCAGCTGTATTAACACCCTGCGTCAGTGATGATTCTCTGTCACGATAGAAGCGCATGTTCTAAATTTTTACCTTCGGTATATATCACTGTTTATTTTGTTGAAGTTGCGACGTAATTGGAATTCTTCTGAGGATGAATAGAGATTCAGTTGTTATGCACACATGTTGTGATACAATTTTGCATCGTCGCAGCCACCAGTACCTGTTGAAATCTAGATTTTTTTTCTTTTAAGACTGAATAGAGTTTAGATTTCTTTTGAGAATGAACAGAAACTGGGAGCTTTCTAGCAAGCGACACAAGTCGACACAAGTGTCGTTTTGTTTTTGTTACTCATTGTAAAAAGAAAAGAGAAAGAACGTTTGCGTCGACCTGTGTCACTTGCTGGAAAGTTCCCATAAGGTGCCATTACATGGTAGCGTCGTGCGTCAAACCACCCTTGCACAGCACCCTTGCGCTGAGGTCTAAATGTGCAGATTTCAGCGTCTTGACGCTAATTCTAGGATCTGTTTGCTGAACTGGCTGCACTAGTTCAGAGTTTATCCTTTTTACTTTTTACTTCACATTCAAAGGAAAAATATTAAACTCTGAACTAGTGCAGCCCCAGTTCAGCTATAGGAAACAGACCCTCAGTAGCTACATTTTATTCAGCATCTTGACACTGAAATCTGCGCGATCTGCATGTTTAGACATCTACGCAAGGGTATCGACGCTTGACACTTTTTTCTGCGAAAAGATGCAAAGATAAAAATTAAATAGCATACATATGTATTATTATACTGCTACAGTCGTTTCCCAGTTCAAGATCCAGGGTGGTGATATTGTCAATTTTGACGGCACTAGCGTAGGAGAGAGTATTTACGGTCCTTACTTCGATGACGAGAACTTCACGTTGTCGCACGACGACTCTGGGCTGCTTAGCATGGTGAACGAGGGAACGCCAAACACCAACGGTTCTCAGTTTATCATCACCGTTCAACAGTCCAAGCATTTGGATAACACGAACGTTGTATTTGGAAAGGTCGTGAAAGGAATGGGCGTGGTATTAGAGATCAATAAAGTGCAGACGAATGAGGATACTCCAGTTGATGTAAGGCTATATCTTTCAAGTCACAAAGAAAATAGCTTCCTGAATCTGTGACAATTATTTAGTTTCGCGATTGGTTTGTTTAGGTAATCGTTATATCTAATTGTGGAGAATTGAGAAACGATGAGAGTTGGGGATTGGAGGAGAACGACGGATCTGAGGATGTTTTTCCACCGTATCCGGAAGATTGGGATTTTCCGTCACATGCCTTCAGGCTCACTGTAAATTGTCATTTGTGTATCATTCCTGAAAATTATTAGGTGTTGATATGCGAAATTGTACTCTAATTTGGATACGTTCATTTTTTTAGCACCAATTCATGGAGGCGGTAATACAAAAGATAAAAAATTCTGGAAATGCTTATTTCACACAGCAGAAATTTGTGGACGCTGGTAGAAAGTATAAGAAAGCATTACGATATTATCTCTGGATGAGCAAACACCAAAACATGGCAGATACATTTTATGCCTCACTGGCGGATCTTAGATTAACTTTGTTACTTAATTTAGCTGCTGTATATTTAAAGCAGGAAGAGTATCGTAAAGCCATAGATCTATGTAATGAGGTAAGTAAATGGATCCTGTGAGAAAATCACAAGTATTGCATTATGTTTTAGCATGTTATTTAATTCAGGTTCTGGAAACGGATAATATGAATAGTAAAGCGCTATTTCGAAGAGGACAAGCTTATACTTCCTTGAAAGAATATAAATTAGGATTAGATGATCTCCATCAGGTGTTTAAAATGTGTCCCGACAGGGTTATCGAACTGCAAATAGACAAAGTAAAAAAAATGGAAAAATCTTATTCAAAATTAGAAAAAACAACGTATCAGAAAATGTTTCATTAAATATGCTTTTCATTTACAATTTTGATATAAATTTTTACATTTTTATTTTTTAGATGATAAAATTATGTAAACTTTATAACGATGATATAAGTAATGTAAATTAAATTGAATCAATTTACCGTTTTATGGAACTCCAATGGCTAATGAGATTGATCAGAAAATTCCGAATCGTTCTTCTTATTAATGCAGGAATCACGTGGAAAAGAAACAAATTTTTAAACAAATTATTTCATGTTTTTATTTCTAAATAAATCAATATGTTCAATTTAAATAAATTCTAAAATTAATATTCAGATGTGTTATATAACAGTGCATAATATGTCATAGTACTTAAATATACAAACAGAATCAATTATCTGTAATTTTTATGTTTTTTTAAATATGTTTTTATTAAAAACGCAATAAAAATGGCCAAAAAAATTATGAACGTTTAATATTCAGGCAATAATATGTATATTTAACTCTGGCTGTGTATATATTTTTTTAAGACAATTAGATATCAATTTAAAATGCGATGTAAATAATGCGTAATCGTAAGAAAGAGTATACTATTTTGTTTATAATTTATAAATTAGGAAATATGAAATAAATGCAATGCATTACAATTACGTTTCTATATTCTTATTTCACGATTAAGTCTGTCCAACTTGTTATTATTAGGAAATTATTTGGTCGTATATGTTTCGAAGAATCACAAAAATATAAATTTAAGCTAAGCACATCCTTCTATTTTATCCATACATGTGTAAAACAAATTTTTTTTTATAATAGATACTCTAAAAATATTAACTTCAGACACCCGAAAATTTATCATTGATAAACATTTCAATATAGAAATATGTAAAAGAATTTTATATTAAAAAATCTGTACTTAAAAATCAACCTCGAAGTTTCGCGTAATTTTTACAATTTTTGTAAGACTAGTTGGATTTAGTTATGCCTAAAATATATTGCGATAACTTTGGCGATATCAAGAAATTGAGATAAGTTATGAATTCGAATTTTAATGGTTCTCGATATTAAAACATAACGTATAAGAAATAAAACAACTTGTTTCGGGAGAGCAAAAAGTGAATCGTATTTAACTCATATTACTCCTTATTGAAATATATTTTCCTAACTAATAAGATAAATTTTCGAGAGTACCTCAAAATGAGCAAAATTTCATCAGTTGTATCTCTGTTTTTTATTCTTACTTCAAATTGATTTAGAATTATCACGCAAACATTTTAATTCTGTGCATACATGATAACGTAGCAAATTTGAAGTACGCATAGTGTAAGAGGGAAAATGACTAAGAATAATGATACAGAGATTCAATTGTAAATAGAATAATACGCTGCAGCTGATGTACAGTATTAATTTATTAAGCTCGCGTGTGCGTAGTTCGCAGAATATTAAATTGTTCAATCAACAATTATTTATCGCACATAAATAATCATGAAATTGATAGTTACAGAAAAGCAGTTACATTTTCATCTTCAATCATGCTGTTTAACGATGTAATAGGTTGAAATGAACGTTTTACCTCATAACGTTGAGTAGTATCTATTTAACAATTCTGGAATATCTACATTGTATCTAAATGTAAAAGCTACTCTATATTGACTAGATTCAATCATATTTTTGCTATTCTTTCTCAATACTTCAATATATCTACTATTTTAAAAGTAACGCTTCTTTATATGTAGACGAATAAATAAATAAATTAAATACCAAAGTTTACTTATAAGAGCTAGAAACTTATAAAGTAGAGATATACTTAATTGATAATAAATATATATTTGGTGCAGAGAGGTGTTTTAATAAAAAAAACTTGTTTCTTAAAATGTTAAATATAACTTCCTGGGAGAATGTAAAACTATTCTATTGAGGTAAGAGAGTTAGTTACAGATAAAATTAATGGAATGTTTGGAAACTCTAATGGCCAGTCTGATAAAATATTTACTATATGTTTTATGCGATTGTATATACTACCGTCAAAAATCGGACGGAAAATTTCTGAAATTCTTTACGACAATACGCAAATATGCAATGCGAATGTTTCACAGAATATACTTTATAATCTAAACCGAAAGTTGCACAAGCTGACAAACGTTTTATAGTCATTGATATAATTTATACTGCACTGTTCTTATCTATCTGTTTTACTTAAACTACATAGATACTTTATTCGGTCAGAATGGCAGCTTGTTGTTCGTGTTCAAAGTATCTCTCTTTTTCTTTTGTAGTAAAACGGTTCACGATTAAAATTAAATTCCATTTTATAATATTGTTACGAATACAATTAGCTTTTGTTATTTACAGTGAGCATTTTTTAGACGTTCGCTTTCCTTCGCTTCGCACGTACCGTTTTACCATCATTGCGTCATTCACAAGGCATATGGTGCGGAAATTTGATTCAACAAAGTCAAATCTAGCAGACTTCCTTGTCGTCCCCATTAACCGCGTTATCGTCGCGGTTTCCGTAAGCGTCTGCTCCATTTTCCGTTTCAATCAAATTATGCAACTCCTTACACAATGTTTCCTCGCATACCTCACCGTCTATCGCCGCGTTCTCGATTATATTTTCGTAGTCGTTCACCGTCTCATTCTCAACCGCTTGCTTGAGGTCGGATTCTATTATCTCCTCGCAACTCTTGAACATCTCGGGATTCTCGTTCGAGTTTAACACCTCAGGATTTTCGTTGGAATTCAAGATATCTGTATTGACCTCGTCATCCGTTGTGTCGGTGGAGTGCGACACTTTCTTCAGCACGCTGTCCACCAAATTTGACGCAAAACTTTTGTTCTCGATTCCCTCGTGTATCGTTTGATGTATCGGCAGACTTTGCGGTCTATTAGGACGTCCATAGGGAAACGTGTTCTCTTCGCCTGCCGGTGTATGCACGGCAGATATCTCTGTTTGAGTAGCAACGCCATTATCGACGAGAGCGGGTTTCGGCTTCATGCTGGACATGCAACGCTTTATCTCGGTCATTGAGTCTTGCAACTGTTGGACCTGATGAAAAACAAACAAAAAAAAGTAAGATATTGGAAAAATTTTACATTTTCTTTGGCAAGATGTGAAAATCTTTTTTGAAAACTTACCTGGGTATGGAGCAGATTGCATGTTTGCGCGAGATTATTGACTACGTCAGCATTTGGTTGCAGAGCATTGTCCGTATCACTGAAGGTGTTTTCTCGATTGCCGCCCGGTTGCAGACTGACCACTTTTTTCCACAATGCATTGATCGCTTGCATCTGCAATAACTGTAACTTGTGCTCGCTTTCGAGAGCGGTTCTCGTAGCTTCCATGTCTGTCGACAGTTTCCTGTAAAATATTTTGTATGTGTATACGTCTTATTCTATAAATAAAATATTACGCATGAGAAAGAGGAAATCTTACTGGATGTACTTATTTGTTCTTAACATGTCGATCGTTTTTAATATACTAGTAGCTGTTCTATTAAGATTCCTTGTATGATAGCCTCGCCACATTCTTTGAATACAGATAGCAGCCTTTTCTGTCTGATCTTGATCTGCAAGAAAATATCCATTAAATACAGAGTGTTCATTAATACTTGCGCCTGATATTTCAAAATATGTTAAACGTTTTACCTTTATTACTGTCTTCTTGTCTTCTTTGGATAGCCCTATGTCGAATACCATCCAATTTCGCCTGACACACCTCACTATCCTCGTCGCTGCTCTGAATTCCAGCGTCGCCGTCTTTCTCGTCTTTGTTCAAGTTGCTCTTGAGTCTCTCGTTCGCACTCTTCGGTCGCTGTATGCTTCTAGCTAAATTTGGACTCCTCGTGCTTCTCTTCGCAGGCAAGGTCTTGCTCTGAACGTAATTGTTTATCTTCACGCTGTGTGGACACTTACTGTTAGCGTATGTCACGATCGGTTTCGCTATGTTCGGTCTCACGACGCTGCAATTTGTCGCGGAACTACTTTTCACAAGCGCATTCGCCTTTACAGCACTTAGATTCGTTTTTGCCATTGGATTTACGGTGTTTATGATCGGAATTGCCTTTCCATCGCCGTCCATAGATGGTTTACTAGGTATTGTGATTTGACAGGGAGAGTTTAATTTACTCGACGTGGGAGTCTTCAGTAAAATCCGTGAAAGGCCAGACGGTGGACGAAAGTCTGGACTCATCAGAGACTCTGGCACCGGTACTAATTTCGTTGCCGCTTGCAGAGGGCTCGATGTCTCTGGACGAAAATACCTTTTATCATGATCTGATTCCGTTTAATCTGATTCAGTCAGTTGTATATAATTGCCTTACCTTCCATGTCCTGCAAACTATTGTTTAACGTTTTGTTGCTCAGTGTACCAGAGAGCATATTAGGATCTAAGCTTTGGGTCATCAGAGTCGATTCGTGATCACCACTCAATAAACCATGACATGAAGAAACCATGGCCTCAGTATGACAGCTGGATACCATTCGGTCTGGCGATTTCATTTTCAAGGGGTTCCTCGAGGAAGCTGGCAAAATATTGTTTAATACTACAATCAACGCTTATCATGCAATAAGCAAAATTATATTATATCATTTATATCCATTTGTGTTTGGGAAATTTCTTTCCGCTAGCATTGCTAGGAAAAGCATGCAAACAATATATAGTCTACTAATCGAAGTTAAATACTATTCAAAAAAAGATCAAGTCTTTCCAATCGTCCTACGCTAATATGCTAATGAAATCTTCTAAGAATAGCGCCTCAGTGTTGATATTTTAACTGCTTTCATCGGCCAATGGTCGTTCGCACTATAAGCCTAAAGAAGCAATTGCTTTAGAAAGTACTATGCATCAAGAGAGCTAGAGTACAGGATGTGCATGAATCCGAACTAGATGATTCCTTTATATTTTAATGATGTTATGAGTAATTGAGTAATATTTATTAAAAGTGAGAATATATAAAAAAATTTAACATAAGAATATTTATACATATTTAATGCAATAAATTATATATATATAAATAAGTCCTACTCGTTCTTCCTCTCAATTTAATTTACGTTGTTATGTGTGTGAATAATAATATAACTTTATTAACTAAAATATATAATTTTATTTAGCATGATTTAAAAAAATAAATAAAATTGTCTTTAGATTCTTGCACATTCCTACTATGTGATTTTATTCAATATATGATAAATCCTCAATATGGCCTTGGATACCTGGACAAGGAATATGGCAGACACAGTATTTTGCTTCATAAAATTTTGGTGATTGTAAGTATTTATCTTCATAGTATGTCAACATTGGCACTAGAGAAAACAGATCATAACTAGGATGTATGTATTGAAGAACTCGACAGAAGAACTGGACAATCTAAATCACTACTAAACCACTTGTCGCAATTATGAGTAAAACCTAGTTCTAAGAATCGTCGAAAAATGAATTCATTCCACAGTCTTTATGGCACTACGCAAAAAATGGATGGATTTATTGAACTCACTAGGTCGTCTGGGAGAATTTGTCCTGTTTTGGCTAAGTCTACGTCTAGCGGCTGGGGAAGGACTCATTGCCACGCTACTCAAGCTGTGCACGCTCCCGGTATCGCTCTGTTGATTCAACTGCTGTTGGTGATGTTGAGCTTTGCTCAGTATAAGTCTAAGTTTCCGGTCCGTCTCGTTCTCTAAGGACTCGCCCGAAAGTGGGCAGACAGACGCAAGATATTGAGCAAGTAAGGCGTGTTCACCAACGCGGAATTGTCTACCTCGTCCCTGAGAATACAGCCACTCTGCTTTCAAGCTAAGCAAAGTGAGGTGTTGCCAATCAGTTTCGATCGTCGAGGTCCAACGAATTAATTTTCATACAGTATTAACTAAGAATGTATTTTTGAGAAAACCCACCTTTCAAGAGGATCAACCGCATAACCGTCGATCGACTTTAAGCTCATACACCAATTAATAACAAAAGGCCGATAGTCAAACCCGCTATAGACCATTTGTTAAGAATAATATGCTATTGTAACAATGCTATGATTAATGTAAACTAATTTTCTTATGTCTAGTAACTGTGAAAGCTATATTTAATTGGCAGAAAAATTAATGCTTATGACAATTAAAAGGAAATACTATTAACACCATATCAGAGTAACGATAAAATTCTTTGCAACTATAATTAATATTAAAAAATAACATCGAGAAAGGTCTGCTAATTTCTAGATGGTATAATAACGCGCGTATACGCTCACAAAAAGGATACATACTGTTACCAGTTATGCTGACACACGGATTGTTAGCAATCGAGAAATTCACCAGATTTTTTAGATTAGCCAGGTGGGACATTTCATTCAAGTCAGTAATGTTGTTATTTGCTAATGTGAACGTCTCCAGGGACGTGGGCAAGTAGCGCTCACACTGGCGCAGTGTTATTATGCGATTGTTATGTAAAAAGAGTTCCTAAAATGTTATTTATCTTGTAAAAATACAAAAAAAATACACCAATTGTAAATTCAATATATCAAATAAAGCGACTAGTCGAAAAAGCATTTAATTATCGCTATACTTTATGCAAACAATTTTATGCAAAATTTTAAACAAATGTAATAAATGTACCTTCAAACTTCGCAGATAAGATATATCTGAGATATGGCTGATGCTGTTTTCCGACAAATCCAGATGCTCCAATTTGGTATTTGTGTGTAAATGTTCAATGGACTGTAAAATACCATTATTATATAACAGTAATGGTAGAAATATATGCTACTATTATACAATTACATATGTGTTACATAAAGTAACATACATATCGTACCTTGATATTATTACCGGCTAAACAGAGAGTCTGCAAATTGGTCATGTCCTTGATACCTTCTATCGTGAGTATACCATTGTTCGCCAAATTGAGGGTAACAAGATTATGTAACTTCGACACACCGTACATCCGTAGCAGTTGATTTCTGATTATCGAAAGCTGAAAGCAATAGAACTGTAGAACACAGATGTATTTCAACATAACAAACTATCTTTACGCAATACGAACAACTTTGAATCAACTTTGATGCTTTAATCAAATTGTTACTACAATCTTACATCTATAATTATCATAATTCTATTCTATTGAAACTATATATATATATAAAATTTACAGTTTTAAATACTGTTAAACGCAGGAATATCGATGAAGATAACTTAGCGAAGGGATTGAACGCAGAGCTAAGAAATATCGCTCCGGTACAGAACTTTGCGATTATACGAACGAATTAATGATAATTCCCACTCGAGGCTGCCTGTATTACCTTCGTAATTCTGTGGTAAGATTCCAGATTTTCGAGCCGCTGCAGATCATTGTCGTCTATGATCAACGTGCTGATATCAGCGTCCGAGGGGCACCGGCTGAGCTTCTTGAGGCCCTGGCCGCTCAGGTCGAGAGTGTCGCACACCAGAGACTCTGAAAACGAAAGAGGAGTCGTCAATGTCACGCGGGCACGATCCGCGGGCGTTCGCGACGCGTGTAAACCGTAAACAGCCAGCAACGGGCAGAGCCAGAGCCAGGCTGAACGAGCGCGAGAATTGTGAGAGTTTGGTCGTGCTGGCACGACGAAAAGCCGCGGACACGCGAGGCGCGAAACGAGCGATCTCTCGTCCGCGGCACGTGCCGCCGTCGCCACGCGGTAAACAAATCAAGACGTAAAATTAAGCGGCGATCCCGCGACGATTACTAACCCGTCGAAGCCATGATGAACACAAACTGGCGGACGCCGAGATGTGGAGATGTCGTCGCGGTCACGATACGAGAATCGATATATATATGAGATTTTCGAACGAGATGCCTTTATATATATATGCATATATAGACAAATTGCACACATATACGAAATTTGTGCTCTACAGTCAAAGTGTTTTGTGTGAACCAGAGATCTCTCGAATTTATTAGAATTGCTTTTGTCAGCGAACTATGGATGTACTTAAATTAGCTAATTACATTGATGTATTTGTTTCATTATTTTTAAAATTGTTGCAGAGAAAGCTCTGCGGTTGTAATTAAAAATAGGAAGCGAGAGCCGCGTCTGCGGCTATTGATTTTCAAATCGCGTGATCGAGAGAGTGGAATATGGCGGCTCTGCGTATTTCAAGCCTGAAGTTAGGCCCGTGCGGGGCTCGAACAGGATGGCCAACCTGCCCGAAAACGCCTGACTTCAGACGTGATTGGATTGGACGTGACGGTGACGTGCATCTCTTTCATTTCGTCAAGATACAATTTTATAATTCATCGAATTACTGTTTTCCCCGGAGAAAACGCGATTTGCTTGATTCAGCGCCGGTTCGGGTAAGATTTTGTTTTTTTCGTTTTTTCCTTTATTGAAACTGCATCTTCGTAATGCGCACGGCTTCGACAGCCTCGGCTGTCGAAGCACGTGTCTCGTTGTAGCCGCGTGGTGTTACGAACGGGGAGCGAGAGGCCGGTAAGATGAGACTGAGGACTCGCTTGATTAACATTTGCATTCGGCACAAGTGCGTGGACGCGCGGGACGGCGTCGGAGCTTCCAAGAGGACTCGGTGGAAGAGGGTGCGTCTGAAGAGCGCCCAAGACGCGGAACCTAACCGGGAGAGCCTAACCTCCAAGAGCGACAAATCTACCACGAGTTCTCTTTACAACTCGCCTGTGATACCTGTTAATTTCGAAGCGGGCTTCCTCAAGTTGTTCACAGAGTCTGAGAGAGCACCGAGCAAGTCGAACGTCAGTACGCTGGCGTCGGGGAAGTCGGTGACGAAACTAGATGTAAATCCAAATGTAGTATCTAAAAGTATTAAAGTTCGTGATATAAACAGGCGAATGACTGGATCGGATTCACAGCTGTATCAAAGTGACACTCGAGAATTAAGGAAATTGGAAAATAATACGGATATTGATTCGAATGATGGTTCAGATCCGAAGAAAAATAATGTTAGAGTTAATGAAATAAATATGCAAATGCTGCCTGAAGCGCTACACCGCCAATTGTTCAGGAAGGACGACAAAGAAGACGGTCTCTCCGAGGAGGAAGTTAACAGTGTGAAGAAAAATTTAGGCACATACGGTATAAATGTGGAGGACGCGACCAGATTGCCGGACGTGAACTTGAGGCTACCAGCTTTAGAAGGAAAAGATATAGAGGAGCATTTCTATAATATTGGGAAAGCGCAAGCTAAGCCGTATTTAAAAATCATAAGTGACATTATGAAGGACATTCCCGAGATGCCGAAGCAGTGGCTCTTCGAAGAAGGATGGACCAGATACACGGCGGACGGTACAGCAGAAAGAGTAGATTATCCGCTGGAAGACGGTGTAATTTTCGACGTTGAAGTTTGCATGAAACAAGGCCCTTTGCCTACTCTAGCTACTGCGGTCAGTAATGAAGCCTGGTACGGTTGGGTGTCGAATTCCTTGGCGCACAGCATCAGTCAAACGTTTGACACACAGTTCGCACCAAGTATGCTTGTTCCTATGGAGAGTAACGGAGAGGAATACGGATCTAGACTTAATCAGCATCAGAAGAAACCAAAGATTGTCGTAGGTCATAATGTGTCGTACGACAGAAGTAGAATTAAGGAGCAGTACTGGCTGAATTCCACGGGAACTCGTTTCCTCGACACCATGTCGTTGCACGTGTGCGTCAGCGGTCTCAACAGCTACCAAAGAGCGCTATTGTTGTCCAAAAAGGCAAACACGGAGAAGGAGATCTGGCAGTCCACCACGTCGTTGAACAGCTTGAGAGAAGTGCATAAGTTGTACTGTGGCCACGAGATAAGTAAAGAGGCGAGAGATTTATTCGTCGAAGGTACTATTGAAGATATTAAGAATAATTTCAATATGTTAATGTCCTACTGTGCCTCTGATGCAGTTGCCACTCACAATATACTACGCAATCTATTCCCGCTCTTTCAGGAGAGATTCCCTCATCCGGTTACGCTGGCCGGAATGTTGGAACTCGGCTCGGCGTACTTGCCGGTGAATTCTAATTGGCAGAGATACTTGGAGGAATCGGAGTCGACGTTCGACGACTTGAACTACGAAGCGAAATTCACTCTCGCCAAGAGGGCCGACGCTGTTTGCCATCTCATGCACGACGAGAAATACAAGGAAGATTTGTGGATGTGGGATCAAGATTGGAGCACGCAGAAAATTAAGATGAAAAGCAAAGTTTCGAAAATAAAGCCTGTTGACGTAGAAACAAATGTAGCGAAAAAAGCGGAAGGGCAGTCAGACATTAAGAAGTATTTATCGGACGACGAAGAAGAAGAGGAGGATCCTTTGGCAAAGAAATTCGCGTATTTGGAGGAAACCAGGCATTTGTTACCAGCTAGAATGCCGCACATGCCGGGATATCCAGCGTGGTATAGGAAGCTCTGTCCCAAGCAAAACGAGGAAGACTGGGCACCAGGTCCGCAGAATATTAGCACTTCCATGCAGGTGGTTCCGAAGCTGCTGAATCTGACGTGGGAGAAGTATCCGTTACATTACATAAAGGATCACGGTTGGGGAATTCTGGTGCCTTACAACGACGATCCCAACATCGAGACTGAACTGCCGTTGAAGAATCTTTTGGCGCAGTGTCCTTTGCCATCGTCCAGTCCGTCCAGGGACATCGCCGACGACGCGATGGCCACCTTGAGCACCGACGTGCAGAACGATCTTCACAAGATGGAATTCTGGCGATTTAAAAAGAAGCAGAACGAGTCGCACAACGAAACGTACAAGGGCACCGGCGTATGGTGCAACGTCGATCTCGACAATTGCTGCTACTTTTTCAAGCTGCCGCACAAGAATGGTGCCAATTACAACGTCGGCAATCCGCTCGCCAAGGACTTCCTCAACAAGTTCTCCGAGAATGTACTTGCCGGCTTGGACGTCAGCGCCGCGGAGGTGCTGAAGATCGCTCGTATGCTGTCCTATTGGCGTAACAATCGCGACAGGATCATGTCGCAGATGGTGATATGGCTAGACGATCACTCTTTGTCCGGCATTATCAAGAGAACGAAGCGGCACACGCGTTACGGCGCGATAATACCTCAGGTGATTGTTTCCGGTACCTTGACGCGTCGCGCCGTGGAGCCCACGTGGATGACAGCGTCAAACGCGCACGTCGAACGAATTGGCTCCGAGCTCAGAGGCATGGTGCAAGCGCCGCCGGGATACAACATCGTCGGCGCCGACGTGGACAGTCAGGAATTGTGGATCGCCTCGATCATCGGAGATGCGTACTACAAGCGTATTCACGGAGCGACGCCTTTCGGCTGGATGACCCTCATCGGTACCAAGTCCAACGGCACCGACATGCACAGCGTCACTGCCAAGGCCATCGGCATCTCGCGCGATCACGCCAAAGTCATCAACTACGCCCGCATCTACGGTGCCGGCCAGAAGTTTGCCCAACGACTGCTGAAACAGTTCAATCCGTCTATGACGGACACCGAGGCCACTTCTAAGTCACGCAAGATGTTTGCTCTTACCAAGGGTAAGAAGAAATTTCGATTGAAGGCTGAATTCGTCAACGATGACTTGGAGGATATTCCCTACACTTCCTCTCAGGCATATCAGTTAGCGAAGGCGTACGGCAAAGGGTTACAGGACATTTTCCAGAAGAGCGAGTGGACAGGCGGCTCGGAATCAGCTATGTTCAACCGATTGGAACAGATCGCCGGTAGTCAATATCCAGTCACGCCGTTCCTCAACGCCAGATTGAGCCGCGCCCTGGAGATCACCAATACCGACAATGACGACAAGTTCTTGCCCACCAAAATTAATTGGGTGGTGCAGAGTGGCGCGGTAGACTTCCTTCACCTGATGCTGGTCTCCATGAGATGGCTAATGAGAGATAACGCTAGATTCTGCCTGTCGTTTCACGATGAAGTGAGATATCTGATCCCATCCAGGTACAAGTACAACGCTGCGCTGGCCATGCACGTGACCAACTTGATGACGAGATCGTTCTGCGCTTCTAGACTAGGCATGAGAGATTTGCCGATGTCGGTAGCGTTCTTTGCTGCCGTGGAAGTCGATACTGTCCTTCGCAAAGAGTCCACACACGATTGCAAGACCCCGTCGAATCCTCACGGCTTACAAAACGGATACGAAGTACCACCTGGGGAAAGTTTAGATGTCTGGGCCACCTTGGAAAAATCCGGCGGTTCGCTAGGCTATTGGCACGATGCGAAAAGTCGCAAAGTTAAATCAGACGCGGATCTCACCGCTGAAAAATCGCCGCGGTCTTTCAAAAAGCTACTTAAACGGAAATTATAAAACCCATTTCGTATCGCGATTTTCAAAAATGTAAAATTTTGTCTCAATATTCAAATAAAAGGAAAATCAATGAAAGGAGAATAAAAAATTAATGGTATTTTTAATTTAATTTCACAGATCACGATGTCGTCTGCAACGAAGCGTAAATACGTTTTTCAAGAACTCGACGATATGACCCTTCCCACGGATTCACAAAGCATCGTACGAATTGTACAGGCGCGCGGCCACAATCTTCACGAAGTTGTCACGCCTACCGGAGAACAGTTCATCGTCTCGATGCCCACCAAATTTAGGCAAAATATCTGGGTGAAGAGAGGTGACTACATTGTTATCGAACCAATCATGGAAGGCAAGAAAGTCAAGGGCGAAATTGTTAAGATACTCACAAAGGTAATTTATTGTCTTAAAGCAATTTAGCAATACTTACTTATATTTAGCGATATCATTTTTTTTTTTTATTCCTTCTGTTTATCGTCTCAAAAATATTCTCTGATTCAAATATATTAACTCTATTATAAGAAAAATATTCAAATTGATTTTTTGCAAGCGTTAAAAAGACCCCTTTTATTAATACGAATAAATATATGCATTTTCAGGATCACATAAAATGGTATCGTGCACAGAATTGTTGGCCGCCAGAATTCGATGAGGATCCAAAGAGGAATGGACATTCAATACCAACGAATTACACTAAGTGCGACGACGAAGAGCTTTTCGTAAATACGAATAGGTGCCCCACTAATCAGAAAATAAGTGACAATGAAAGTGATTCAGATTCTAGTGAATCTGATTCTCATTAGCTCGTGACTTTTCTTTTTGAAATATAAGTTTCATATTATGTCCGTCCTTCTTGAATTTGGACAGCGACATCGCGGGTCTGCGTAAAAAACGCAGTCAAATAAATCCATTGCTGATGAAAAGCGGAATGGGTAATTGGGAAGGCATACAAAGGTCATTAATGCTAAATTGTTGCTGCAGGATTTGACGAGCAGTAATTTATTCGTAAATCATAACAAGACGAAGTAAAATAGCAAATTAATAGGATTTACATGGTGCAAGGTATTTGCTACTATCTCCACTTTACTCCGACCTGCTGGATACGGTTAAAATAATACAATCTCTTTATATTTGCAAGTTCTATGCCATCGCAATCATACAGTATCAACTAAAACATGTAGTGAACATATTGAACAGTGATTTATTAATAAATTCATACATAAATAATTAATATGATACAATATAGTATACGAGGTATTGCCATATTCTCTTCGATATCGCATTTTGTCAACATTTCTGCTGTTACACCACCAAAACTACCAATTCTAACTATAGCTGTCGTTAATTCTCGTATTTTCTCATAATTTTCAACGATGCTTAAATCTTTACCATATTCAAATCCCATCTAAATCTAGAATATCTCTTCTATTAATTTGCTCTTTTACTTTATCTTGTTTTGTTTATATTTATATATTTCATGTCTTTTATGAGATGCGGCAGACGAAACCTTATTTTGTAGTGTACTGAATATATATTTTAATAAATATCGAGCAAGAACAGAATCAGTTTACATTAAAAAATTACGTTCAAAAACCTCATCTCGAGCTTCGTCTGCCGCATCTCTTCTTCGTCTTCCTTCTCTTTCCTGCTTGTTAGATACCACCAGCGACGAAATTAACCGGCGCTGTATAATTCTAAGGGCCCATGTTAAAGATATTGAAAAATAATCTGGCAGAGATAATTTATTTTCATCGCTGTCGTCTGTCTATTCCTGTTGATATACATATATAACTTTGTAATTAAAAAGTACTTTTTTCCAATTCTAACCAGTTAGCCTCGTATAATTTCGGGCCAATCAAAAAATTCAGATCGGCAATTTTGTCGTCCTCTCGCAAGAGCGTAGCCGTTAAACCCAACTTACAATGTGACTGAACGATCGTTAATACTCTACGGAACATTTTCGCAGGAATGGTATGTACCTCGTCCAAGACCATAATACCCCATTCTTGTTCTTGAAGCCAACGCATCGTTTGCTCAGCTTCCCACGACCTCTTTTGCGTATGCGTAATCATAGAATACGTGGTTATCAATATTCCACAACCCATAGGCTTATCTTTCGCCTCGCTAGTAAAGCGACAAATCATTGAATCGTCGGCAGTAGACCACATTTTAAATTGTTGCTTCCATTGTTCCACAAATACACCGGAGTTACATAGTACTAGAGCGCGTTTATGTACTGTACAGCAAGCTGTAACTCCAACTAAACTTTTGCCAGCACCGCAGGGTAAGACTATTACCCCGGATCTAGCCCGTCCATTGCCAAACATTTTCCGCAAGCTTTTTTTCTTGATAAGGTCTTAATACAGCTGACGCCTTCAAGTCAATATTTATATCAGGATTTACGCTATCATTGCGAAAATCATATTCCGCCAATAAAGGATGTTCCAGTTCGATGCATCGTTTTTGTATCACTTCAATTTTTTCCTTTTCACCGCAATAAAGCACATAGTTTTATAAAACATTATACATATAATACCTTATATCGTATTTTGTACAAACAAATGTAAAAAAAATTGAATGCGTTAAATATGCTAGAACAGAAGATATCTGTTGTATAGATATGTATATTTACCTGATTCACTTCAAAACTAACTGTTTTCAATTCTTGATCTTCTTCCTCGTCTTCATCCTCCTTATCGATCTTGTCGTAAAAAGCAGTTATATCTTCTGGAATGACAGCCGTCTCTGTCAATATCTGATCAGATTCAGTCTCTGAATTTGTCTTACTAGGCATAGGCGTATTTACGAGTGCTTTTGATCCAAACTGAGGGACTTTTATTTTAGTTTGAATATTCGTTTGAATGCCATCAGTTTCTGTATCTTCCACAAGTTTTCTCAATCGACACTCTTGAATCACTGGGTCCTTCAATAATCTTTGCAGCACTTCAGGAAATGGCGATTCGATAAAATATTTGTTATGTTTTAAGACGAGTTTAACTTTTCCATAGGACAATGTACACAGTTTGATAAACTCGATTATACCATCAGGAATACTAGTCTTACTCAATCTCTTTAAATACTCTATTATATCTTGCGTCTGTAGGCCCACGCTAACTGCAGCGTAAAGTGAATATGCAGTCAATTTATACTCGTGAATATGTTCTGGCCGGCATACAGGTTCTAATATAGCTATTAAAAAATCATGAGCGTGTTTATATACAGGAGAAAAGGATTCCAAAAAAATATGTCCGTTTGGCGCCACCCATAATGGTCTAGATAAATGATCTGGCTTTAAAATCATTTGCGAGCGATAATCTTTCGCTCCAAATTCATCCTCGATCGCGCACTCATCTTGTTTTTCTACATCATTTTTTGCTGCATCGGGAACACCATCCGCTTCGTTGCTGTCTATCGAATCATCATCGTTGTACTCGTCGTAATCGTCCTTACGCTTCTTCCATTTACTGTTATCCTTTTTGAAGCGCTTTGGCGGACTCATATTATATGGAGATATCGTAATTCAAAATTTTGGTTAATTAATAAGGCTTCCTTTTTTCTTCTTCTTTGATATAGATGTTCCCTTTAGGACCACTTTACTCAATCACTTTTGTCAACCTCTGTTGCACGCAACCTCGCACGCAAGATACTCAGACCGAGCGCAATATTACACCCTACATACAGTGTCTTTTTCTGCTTCTTTTTCTTTTCAATAAGTGGCATCAGATTGCCTGTGTATATAGTTAATAATATAGTTAATAATAAAACTATTTTTGCAACATCGAACTTGATTTTCTATCCTACTCAGAATTATCGTAAAATTTAATTTAAACTAGCTTCTTGCAAAGAATCTGAAAATTCTTTTTATAGCTTACATTCTCTAAATCAAAATAAATTTTTTGCAACAATATTTAAGCCATTTATTTCACTTTATTATTTTCAATCAAGTGATTTACTGCTTTTTGAGCAATCTTAAAGCTGCTTATTTCCTCCACCAAGGAGATTACTCGATTGCCATCTCAGCGAATTCAAGAAGAGGAAATTGAAGTCAAGGAGTAGAGGAAATCTGAAAGATTTAAACGTACTCTTATATACTTGACCCAGTTTTTTATCAAGTTTCCTGTATCCAGTGCACATGATTGATATTGTCCTGGCGACGGCGACGGATCACATCTTTGCGGCAAACTCGCTAAATTCGATTTACGCGTTTTCAGAAAAGTTACGCCACGTTTTTTGCCGCGTCTATCAGAAGTTTTGGTTACGCCACGCTTTTTGCTGCATCTATCAGAAGTTTCGACAGAATGACATACTCATCCATTTCAGCTAAAACGAACTTGTGAAGATGTCATTTCCGTATTTACGTGAGAATAATGCTCAAGTTTCCTTGATGTCTGCTTGCGGCAATTTTTCTTATTAAACTAGAGGATTTACGGAACTCTCACAATAAAAACAAGTGAATAGAAGGATATTCTAATGGATTGATTCTGTGAAATTAAGTTTATAAATTAAGAATTGTTTTCAAAATCAATTTTATCTCCTATCTCATTTTCTCTGCAAAAGCTAATTCTCTTGGACTTATTAATTAATTATAAAAACAATTTTTAAAATGTTCAATTTCACTTCGTCATTTCCTACAACGTAAAAACAATCGGACACGTGGAAAAATTTTAAATTAAACAGGGACAATGTACGAATCAAATTAACAACAGATTTCCGCGGGGACATTTCGCAGACTTATAAAAACTATATATTTAAAAACTTTAGAATATTTTTAAGGATACGACTCAACACGGGATAGAATTATTAATAAAAGTCCGCTGTTCCTTTCTGTTTGAAAAAGATAGATATATACAATATGAATGCAAAATCTACGCGAGACGAAATGTTCTGTTTATGACATACAAAAGAATTGTGTTACGGCTTGCATTAGAAACGCGTTAGCGACGTTAGCAAAAACGATTTATTTCGATTTAAGAAGTCACTTCGGCATAGATAAGGGATGATTTACTGGCTTTAGCTCGGCTGAATCCTTTTGGAGCAAACATAAAATTGAAGGGGAGAAATATTACACAAATGCTGGTAGCACGAAAGAAACAAAAATTTATGTTCTCTAGTATGTAGAAAAGAGATTTAACGAGAGAAAATAACAACAAATCGAGTTATAATATTTATTATAATAATAAGTGTGTGTGTGACACAGGACCGATACAATATACAATCAATTAGAGAAAATGCCATTTACTGGTTGGATCTTGGTAGCTTAATAATAATATTTCTACGTGAATTTTACAATATTTATTATTTTAACATACTAGGACAATATATAAATTAAATTTCAAAGTTTTTGAATTCTTATATTTTAAAATTTCTTCATTTTCCATTTTCAATTTCGGAAAAAAGTAACAATTAGATGCAAGTACGTAATAGTACCAATTTTATGTACCTTTTTTAAAGAGTAGATTAAGTTTTAATTTTCTGTATATTAAGTAATTTTTTCGTAACGCGTACACATTGATTATATTATTCTTTTTACTGGTTTTTTTTTTTAGTTTTTTATTTAGATTGGAAAGCGAATTTTTCATGTATCTCGGGGGGGAAAAAACCATGGTTGCGCGGTTTGACCGAGATTTTTTTCAACAATTAAAAAAGCGCATGTTACGGACACGCAAGCATTATCACAGGAGCATCCACTGTAAAAATTTATTTCATGACAATCTTGCATGAAACTGGTTTATATTTTTTTTATAATGTTATTTTGGAATTGTCTCTTCTGTCATTCGTGTAGTATTTATTAAACAATGCACTTTTTCACTGTCAAAAAGATGATCTGCAAATAAAATTGTAATACAAAACTATATAGTTTAACTCGTTAATTAATTGATAAGAATGATCTCCTACACAGAATTATCAGAATGGAAAGGCCGCTAGGAGTGTTTTAAAAACTTGACTGCAAAATTTAATTATCTGAAACTTTTTCATGCTTGCAAATCGAATTGATAAAAACCTAATCTAAAATGCTCATATTGCTTCCAAAACTTTAAAGTGATTTCAAGAGAACTTCGAAACAATCGAGAAAAAGTATGTAATTAAGTTTTAAGGTTTTAAGAAAAGTTTTCTCTTCGAAAAAATAATGACTTATTAAATTCGCATGTTTTATTTCTTTACAGAAAAAATTGCACTCAAAAGTTCCATCGTCATCTCGATAGGAACTCTCTGGAAACTGCCTCTGAACTTCGAAATGATCGAATATTAAAACGGTATATTGGTCAGTGACGCGGAATTTTCTGCGATATAACCACCTTCAGAAAGAGATCTGATCCGATGCTATCCGTTGAAGGAAATTCGCTATCAGCGGAATCTACGGACAGAGCAGTCGACAGGTGTTTGTGGTGGTATCATCGAGATCAACGCGTTCAGTTCATACTCGGCGACGTTCTATCGCGGATGACGGCTCGTTCTAACATCTTCTTCTTCGCGATAGACGTGATTTAACTTTCGCTGGTATCAGATCGATAGCGCCGATTGACATGCCCAAACAATCGGATCGGTGACCTTGCATAAGCCGCGAAGACACGTGTTTCACTTGAGATTACAAACACTCGTGTGCTTTTCGAGCTGATATGTTGCTCCGACCGAACGTTGTGTTTCGCGAACGTTAAATTGTAAACAGCGCGTCTTCCAGCAACGAGCCGGAGTTCGTCGAATTTCGTTTATATATAACGATTTGTTGAAAGTGGAACTCGATCACTGCAATATTGCAAGCTTCCCGGTTATATTGCGGTTTCATCGTCGGAAATTCGAGAGAGTATGTGGAAAAAAATAATAAAAAAAAAAGATAAAAGTGAAAACCGTAGCAATGTGCGAAAATTGTGTATAGTGACGGAGCGCCGATCGCGGATTGTAACGCTGCGCAAATATTCAAGCGGCAATTGAAAGCGTGATATTTGCCTATTGACTCTTCGAGTACAATTATAATGATAATCTAATTCCAATTAAATTAGGATTATAATTCTTGCGATACTTGGCAGCGAAACTTGAGCTAAATTGGAGCGTGAAATAATTCGTTCATAATAGTATATACGAATGGATAGGGGAAACGTTTATTTTGCCAAACAGCAATAAACGTATTCACGCTTTTATCAGCACCTTACTCAATTTGCGAGATTGTTCTCAAAGGACTAATACAAACATTGCATTTGGAATTGCTTTTCACGTATGCAGTCTTGGGATTCGGTTGGAAAAGCTATAATAAGGACGCACGAGTGCCTATTACCTTATCAGCTTTTGCGTTAGCTTCCTTCCACTATTCCGGAAGGATTCTGGGAGGAGAAAGCCTCTACCGTCGCAAGTGAGTGACCCATTAACAATCAGCGAAAGAAGGTTTGCTGACGGGTTATCGAGGCGTTTCTTTGTTTGCGCGCGCGATACTGGAGACTTGTGATAAATCAGAATGTGCATACGCGAAGGTGTCGTCGCGATGAGTCGAACCAACGTGTGACATCCTCGCGAGGTGAGTTTCGAAGCATGGGGACGTCGAGCATGGACGAGAACGACACGCTCGATTTCTGGCGGGACTGGGATCTGAGCAACCTGACCGAGGCTGAGTACCTGAGCAAAGTGCTGGGGGACAAGTACATGCCTCTCAGGCTGGCGATACCGCTCACGATCGCCTACGTGGTGATCTTCATCACCGGGGTCTTCGGCAATGTCGCCACGTGCACGGTCATCATCCGGAACTCGTCCATGCAGACCGCCACCAACTACTACCTCTTCAGTCTGGCCATATCTGATCTCACTCTACTCATACTTGGTGAGCGAACAAAGGATGGCACGCAAATGTCGGGATGCAATTGCTTCTCCGTGTTGCCTTTGTACATAGAAAAAAAAGAAATATCGAATCAAAACTTATATGATCAAATTAACGCGTTTGTTGTTTCGTATATATGCAACAATCTATAATATTTTTATAAGAATTTCAATTTTCTTTTGGTTGAACTATATAAAAATGACCTTATTCAAGCAAGTTTTCGTCGTTTAGTTTAACACGATATAATCTCATTTCAAGATTTTCATGTTGAAATTAAATATATTTTCAAATCAAAAATATTCTTTTTTCTGTGCACTTCGAGCGTTATATTTGTAGACCAATATTCCTCAAATTTTAATCTTAATCAATTGTTTGACGCGATTATACCTCGTTTCTCTCACCAGCGCAGTGAGAACCAGTAAAAAGAAATCATGTTAGTGATGTCTCGATTAGGATGATCTTGTCAGATATAATGACTATAATTGCTGATAATAAAACTGTTAATAATTTGTACAAAATAAATATTCTCAACGCAGAGTTCAAACCAAATAAAATGCTCGGTTTTAAGTAGAGAAACTGAATTTACAATGTTTCTTTTAAAATGTAAAAGAGTATTTTAGTAATAAATAAAGGTAGATAG